TCAACAAAACCTGGCTCCCAGCTCTCAAAAACACAGAGTGCAAAAGGTCAAGAAACTCCACCCAGCCACAAGGTCAAGGGATTACTGCACACAAAAAACCAGTTAATGACACCCAGCAACCATAGGGACAGATAATCTCCCCTCCTTATCAAAACAATACAGCCCCAACAAAACACACTAATCAACCATCTCCTGATCAGGACAATAGCCTATCTCACAAACTAGCCTTCTCACAGCCATAAATACTCCACCCACTCTCAAGCCTACCCAGAGCACAGTTTGCTGTCCTCTGAAGATGCCGGCCACAGAGACTGGTGAAACATTAGGAAGAACCACTTTCAGAACACGGCCAAGAAGCCCGAAAAGCCCACAACAACCAATAACAACAATGATGCAAAATAAGAACCTGTATATTTTTTCCTAGCATTTGGAAAGTTACATTTTAATACTCTGGTTTCTCTTAAGATCATATAAATCTTTTGCCTTTACTAGAGATTTTAAACATAACTTACTTTGCTGCTTCTGTTGCATCTCTGTTACCACTGATGTTTTTTTAAAGAATCCACTCCTTATGATATCCAGTCTTTTTCAGTTCCTTTTTGGAAATAATCAAAAAGAAAGGACCTGAACTTTGAAAAAAAATCTTTAAATTGTCCCAAGAAAGCATTTCTAGTTTCCAAATATAACTTTTTAAACTGCTGAGTATAAGTATTACTGATTGCAGAGAAACATTAATGGCATTACCACTTATTATGTCACTTGCGAAAGGGTCATAACTATGTCATTGTTACCCTCCAAAAGTAACACATTAGAGGTAACATCATTATAGAAAAATGCACTACTTCCAAGTTCTGATAAATTCTTCAGCCACCTACTTTACTGATTTGCAAATGATCCCTCAGAGTGTTCAGCCTGGAGGCAGGTGGTGCAGCACGGCCTCTCCCAATATGAAGAGACACTTGTACAGCAGGCCAAGGCAAAAAGGCAGTCCCGAAATCAGCAAAATCAGGGAGCTGGGCAGGGGACAGATTGTATTTCTCTTCAGTGTGGAAGGGATTCTCACTCTCAAATTGGCCTTCTTTGCCACACTAGACGTTGTTCCAAGACCTCTGTTCAGAGCACATTAACATAGTCTCTTGAGACTGAAAGATGCCTACCTCAGAGCTTTCCACATAACAACATGCTGAAACCATGTAACCTCAAGTCTTCAGAGGTTTCACATGGCATTCAAGGAAATATGCACAAACCTTTGGAGAGTCTGTAAGAATACTCTATAATTGCCATGCTTTTGTGCAGAATATGACACAGCTCAGTTGTCAGCAAACTGCAGATGAATTTGGCAAATGTTATTTGACCCAATTTTGTTTGATGAAATTTAAAAAGATGACTCCACTTGGTCTTCCTTCAGCAGTACTTAGAACAGGTCAGTATGATTCAGTCCTACATGTATCTATTCAGAAGTTAGCTGCAGTGCATTCAATTAAGCTTGCTTCCAGACAATCATATGTAGGATTACTGATAATAAAACTGATCCATAATCATTAAGACAAACTTACCTCCCAAGATGAGCTAATTAAGGATGGACAGTTCAGGACATATATCTCATTATTAATTTCAGGCCTAACTGTGAATTTAAAGCTATGCGTTAATTACCACCTGGAACAACACAGAGCTTGGGAAATGTCCTCTTTAGTACTGGAGCTCACAGAATCCTTTGGCAGCACGACCAGTGACTATATTTATTGCATGATCCTGGAAGCTGTAGTGCAAAAAAAGAGAGGAAAATTTCCAGTTTTGTGTTCACACCGACAAATATGCCAGAACTTGAAGAGCGCTGATGGAGAGAAGGCTTTCCATGGTGAGTTCCACTGATGGAAAGATGCCTCCGCTTGATTGGGAAGGTTTCCCCATTAACCTACCCATTCAAGATGACCTCCTCACCCTATGTGTAACACAGGGAGCAGGGACGAGACCTCTACCAGCACAGCTCCACACATCAGCATCTGGATTCAGACCACTGCCTCCTAGTTTCAATATGGCTGTCTTAGTAAGGTAGGATAGTGTTACTTATATTAATGTATTATCAAGAATTAATTTGTTAACGGCTTCAGTGGGGATAAACTGATGGGGAACCATTCATCACACTAGCGTAGCGTTCTTCTTGATGCATTGTGATTAACTGTCACTTGGCTTATACCTAGTTGTAACCTTGTTTCAAACCTGGCCACCATTATTCTTATAAACCAAAGACAGGCAATGTCTGGGCTGTGTGTGTGTGTGTTTCTAACTAGGGGACAAAGAGACGGAGAGAAAGACCACTATCTTGCCACAATAAAGGTGGAAAACTCTACTGTTACAATTTTCAGAGTGCCTTTTGAGGCATTTTCACTTTCAAACAAGGGCTACAGTAGCCAAGTTTATAAGGTAATGACTGCGTTTAGGAGGCTTCCAAGAATGCTAATCTGATGGTAAATGAGGCATGTGGAGAGTGTCTGCCATGTTTCAAATGGAAAATGCAAAACAATACTTTTAAAGGTAAAGCGGAACTGTTTCCCATAATTCTGTAATGGGGAGGAAGAGATCCTTTATTTATATACAAGGCCCGATAAATAGAGAAGTAGCAGTTGCAAGCTGCATGCCTTGTCCCATGAACCTCTATTAAAAACATTTAAAGGGAGATATCAAAACCTGCTTTTGCATAATCTTATCATTTTCCCTCCTGTCATCACTTCATTACTTTTTATTCCCCCCGCAACATGAACTATATTTTTTACTGTTGCTTTTTATTTTATTACACTGTTTTTATTCTATTTTTATTGTTAGCCGCCCAGAGTAGACTTGTGTCTAGATGGGCGGGGTATAAATGTAATAAATAAATAAATAAATAAATAAATAAATAAACAAACAAACAAACAAACAAACAAACAAACAAAAGAATTTGGTTGTTCTCACGACTATTCTGTTTTTGGATGCAGAATGGACGGCGTACTGCATCCAAGCTAGTCTACCAGGTTTTCTGCCAAGAAGCTATTTTCCTTCCCACACCTCTTTTCCCGTGTATTTCACCTTGAACTATCAGTTGTAGCAATTTATAGTTGTTACTTCTCATTACTTGACAAAAGTATTCTAGCCTTCAGCCTTTTATTTATGTTATGATTTCTTGGACTTTATTCTCTGGCTTTAGTGCATCACTGGTTACTCCATGAAGAACTGTTGAGGAGTAACTGCTGTTTAGAAACTCATAACAAAAGGATGTGCACAGATGTAAGTAACTAAAAACCACACCATAACTTTGTGAATTGGTGTTCTATACAAAATTAAACAAACTCAGGGGACTGTAACCTGTACACTTTACATTTTTGAATTGTTTCTTCTTCTTTTCTAAGAATATTTAGCAACAAGGGATGATCTCAAGAAATGGTGTGATTTTACTTTTCCACACATGTATTCCCTTACATCTTGATGTTCCTCACAGAAGCTGTCAATTTTAGTCCCTATATTTTTCCATAATACAAGTAAGAGGCTACTGCTTCATTGAAATTTCATGAAAACTAGCACAGAAGCTACTCAAAAATGCAGGATTTAATTATTAATTTTTTGTGTGATATGAAAGAATTTTGTAGAAAGCCTCCGGTAAATATAAAAATTCATTCTAATTTCACCATAAAGAGGTTCTGAAATTCTTATGAGACAAATTACACTTCATTCCCAGTTTTGTGCCCATTTCAGTTTGGGGGAAATAATTTCATAGACCTGGAGTAATTGTAACTTTAAAAACAGCTATATTTCACATACTTATTATCAGCTTCATTGTTCTCTGTGTCCATCCATCTGAGCTCCATTCCCAGTCTGCCCTGCCCATAGGCATCATGTGTGCAATTAATAAATTGTCTTCATCTCCTTCACATACATACATATACACGCTACTTCTCAAATATGTAATTTTAGCTGAATGATGTTCAGGGAATTTTGTAAAAGGCAAGGATATCATTAAACGAACGTAAATTATTTCTACATTATAATTTGCATGCAAAGCCTTTATTTCCTACCTCTTCTTTATTTAGTTTAGTGTAACGTGTAATTCAGTCAAGGTTATAATCCTTATTGAATGCCTGGAAGTAAACTGTCAGAGCAGATTCATTTCTTTTGCAGGCTACAAGAATTGGTGAACATTTAAATAATAAAATAAATATAAGGAAGTAGGAAATAGCTGATGTGGAGAGAGAGAGAGAGAGAGAATGCTCACAATTTTTGCCATAAACAAGGAACCTGTTTTTTGTACAGAACATAAAAGAACTATAGAACATAAGATTCATAAAAGAAACCACTACAACCACAAATGCTTATATTTACTGCAGTCCTGTCCATTTGCTTTCCCCTTTACAATAGCTATTCTGGAATTGACAAAAACAACATCATTCAACATTTCAAAGAGAGAAGAAGGTCAAAGAGTTGTGTTCAGAAAACCTGCCATGCTCTAAACAGACACACACACAATGCCCCTCTTTACAGGACCTTGTAAGAAAAAGGCACAACGTGTGCCTAATTTAAAGACATGGTGCTACCTTTGTTATCATAGCAACTATATTCCAATCTTCACTTTCAGTTTAAGCCTATTTTCATGCCTCACAGCCAATGCACTTGATCCTTTAAAAAAGTGTTAATGATCTGCCATGTTTCATAGGCCTGAAAGTAAAGGACCAAAAATTAATGTGGGCATCTGCAGGCAAACATTAACTACTAATACCTTTGTGTTCATATACAAGAGACAATGTTAATAACAGTCCTTGAAGTTCAAGAAAGGGTAGCGAGAAACATTTCATGGAATCGTAGAGGCCTGGAGGTGGGAGTTGGACAGGAAGAGACAGAGAAAGTTTGATTTCTTTATTTGACAGCTTCTTCGTTTTCTTTTTACATTCAAAGCTAACTCCAGACTTGTTCCCTGTAAGGAAAGGATTTTCTTTTTACATTCAAAGCTATGAACTCCAGACTTGTTCCCTGTAAGGAAAGGTAGTATCTTTTTTACAGAAGAAATATTTAATCGTAGAACATCTTGGTTTGAGTAAGAACAGTATGAGGAAATAAATGGGGAGTTGTCTTTACATTCCAGAGCCTGTTGGAATAGGAACAGATTCTCTCATGTATTTTTTTTTTTTTTGAAACAATGCTGCCACTGCCAGTTCTATCCTCCACATTTTTTCTATCTCTAGCTTACTTTGTCGTTTGGCTGTAATAATATATTTGGATCAAGATTATGCAAACAAGCACTGTGGTAGATGTTTCCAGAAAGTACCTAAAAGTGATAGAGAAGAAGTCCATTAACATCAGTCTGAATGCCAGCGTAAATGAAGTGCTTTGAGCGTGGTTACATTAAGGCTGAACATTTAATTATATGGCCAAATACCAGTTCAGTACTCTGCCTGTGCCCAGGGCGGGGGGCTACCTTGTCCTGTTGTGCTGCCACCACTGTTGCACTGCCACCACCATGCCACCACTGTGCCCCATTGGCAGTGGGGGGGCTCAATGGTGATGGCTGCAGTAGTGGTGGCAGTGTGGCCTTCCAGGAGCCCAGGCACCTGATCCCCAGCTGATTGCCCTGAATAGCCGAGAGGCAGGGGCATGCGCAGAAGGCGTAACTGGCTTCCCTTCCAGGTGATCTCCCTAATCAGCTGATAGGTGGGCAATGAGCAAGGAAAGCAGGTCCAGCTCCTGTAAGGGAAGCCAGGCTGCTGCCTCTGAAGATGGTGGTGGTAGTAGCGGAGGAGGAGGCAGCAGGATCAGGTAAGGAGGCAACAGGGACAGTGGGAAGGGGCGGGCAGGCGGGCATCCATTTTGCACAAGCAAATTGAAGCGCTGAGAGGAAAAAAGTTTGGAGCTTTATTTCATTTCATCAAAACAGGTTGCCCGTTTGTGATTTTTTTTTATCCAGATCATTGTTCGTTCATGCCTGTCTCTAGTAATGTCACCTGGTGGCAGCAGTTTTCAGTATTTGGAGACATTATCTTCTCATCTCATGGCCCATAGTTTCCACAAAATAAAAATGATGACACGGGGGGTTGAAGGAGCATCAGGGCAGAAGTAGGAAATTTTTGATTAGCAAAAATCACTCCTTTCACAGGCATGGTTATATCAATAGGATTTCAGCAAATGCATTCCAGTGAGCATCTGAAATTGTTGTTTATATAAATCTGCATCTAGATCACTTGTTAAAGTTTCCATCTGAGTCCACTCCTTAACTTGTCTTGGCAGAAGAAGGAAAACAACAGCAACAACAGAAAATGGTTGCAAATGTGGCACTGGTGGAAAGAAAGATACATTTTTAAGGTTGAGGAAATAAGCAACAAAAAGGAACTCTACTGATCTTGTAAGATTCCAGTATCTTTCCCAGATATATTTCTATCATTTTGTGAGGATTTCTTAGTTATAATGTTACAGTAGTTATAAACTCACAGCACCGTTTCGCCTCAGAGAGATCTCAGTCCCCATCATCTTTGACTATTAGCTACGCTGACTACACCCAATGGGAGTTGCAGTCTAACAACACCTGGAGCATCATTTGTTCCCTGCTCCTGCTCTAAAGGATGCCCACCTCATTATTAGTAGTATCTTTTTTGCAACTCTGTCTCCTTAAGAACCTTTCCAACCTCAGCATCTCCTGTGACAGGTGAAAGTGTGGTGCTGAGTGAACAAGAGGGGCTGAACTCTTGGGGAAAACATCAGGAAACAGCCTGAGCTACAGGACTGTCTCAGATAGGTGACCTTGTTCAACAGTGGATTGGCTGCTTCCTGTTCTGCACACAGTTTGAATGAGAGATCCTGGATGATTGACTGCAACAATTTTTAAGATGTCAAAGGCCAAGCACATTTCATCACCAGCCTATTTTTATTGGGAACAGACAGAACAGAGTGGTACCCATAGGGCCAACACCTGAATGTTCTTGTATAGTAAAATAAATCTTTCCACACAGAGTCATGCTCTAAGAGTAGCCTTGCGCCACACATACTCTAGTCCCAAGAATTTGCATTAGCTTATTCTATTACTACTAGTTTACTTCTATTTTGCATGTGCACTGTAATTATTCCCCATGTAATGACTCTCTACATAGGTTTCTCTCTTCTAATTCTTCACATAGCAAATTGGTTCGCTCATGCAGTTAATAATGGTGTATGCAAGTCACTGCATTTATTAATAAGGGCATTCTAAGCCAACATATTATGTAAGGGTTCAATTTGACTCCATCAGTTACTGGGACACATTGTGTGAGAGTGGTCTCAAGTCTTGCAAACAACAGGCCAAGCAAGAAGGTGGGCATTACATGCACCTTTGCCTTTAATACGGAAATATCCTAAATAGAGTTTGAAAAGTTGCCATTTTGAACCAGACTTTAACTAGCATGGCTGTTATCCTGGCTAGGAAATGCTGGTAGTTTTGGCCTAGGAGAGTAACATTTCCATTTTCTAATTTAAAAATAGATCCAAACAGGGAGTGAGGAGGAGAGAATATAGCATTTTCTCTCCCCTGCTGTACCCTGAGCACAATTTCCACTCTTTCTTTCTTTATTCGTACCAGAATGCTGCACAATTTAAAGCTATGGACATATATGAGATATAGGTAACATTAAAAACAAATTAAAATGTTAAGATAATTAGAGTAATTTTGACCAGAAGCAGCCATTTGCTATGTTTCTACATGCGGTGAGGCATAAACTTCATGCACATAAGTGCTGCATTGATTACATTTCTCGACAGTCACAGAAAATTTGTTCTGTGTCCAAACAGCCCCATTTTACTTAATTATTTTTTGATCTTCCTACTTTGCTTAAAAGTCTATTAAGCGACTTCAAAATGATTCAGTTAGAGTCTTGTCCTAGAGGGAGACATTTTTCAGTATTCATCGTCTTGGCAAGGTTCTCTATAGGTTTAGCCTAGCCTTTTCTGTTTTAATATTTAGCTTGAGATGTGTACTCCTCTGAAGCTGGTACTATATTTGCATTTGGAGGAAATATCCCAATGGCCTTGAAGTCCTACAAGTTTCTCTGCTGTTTTGAATCAGACCCTTGCATTAGAAGAGCAAGATCTCCTATGGCCAAACTGTACAGTACAAATAATCTGTCATTAGAGGTGAAGTCATGTTAATGTTATAGAGACATGATTTAGGCTGACTTTCATGTCTGGTTTCTCTGATTTACAAAAGACTCATGTCTGGTTTCTCTGATTTGCGTTTTTCAGGTCTTGAGGATAAAGCACACTAATTTAAAAACCATCTCATGTGGAAAAGACACTTCCTACTGTGATAATTAGGCACCTTTTGCAGTCAAGGAATTCCCCCTTCAAATGGAAGTTGTCTATAATGTGTGGTTTGGCCCTTAAACCCTTCTTAAAATTAAACTCAGTTAACAATGTATAATCATCATTGGCATTGTTCCTAATAAAGGAGGGGGAGAATGAAGCAGGACAAAAAGCAGCCGAACACTCAAAAATGTGTGTCGAAGAGCACCCTGTATCAACTTATCCAGATCCCAGCTAACATGGGGAGAAAGATTTCCATCCAGAAAGATTCTGGAACTTTGTTCTCATTTGTTTAAATTATTTCTTCCCACCCCTTTCAGGGGCTTGCTCTGCACTTTAAGAGCCACAATGTACAGTGTTCACTAAACTACTCTTCCATTAATAAGACATATCTTCATTAATTACTATCCTAACACCAGCACAAACTGTGTTTTTGCAAAGTGAAGTGTGATGTGATATTCTGTTATTGGTTAACTGTTTTTTCAATGTTAATTAGTTTTTGTCCTTTGGCAACATCTGAGATTTTGGCTATGTTCAGTAGTAATTCATTTGGTTAAATTCCCCCCCTGGATACATGTTTGTATCTGTGCATTTAAGATATTCTCATTGTGGCATATTACATTGCTAAGCAAGCTTTTCCTGCTGGGCAGAAGATCAGTGTGTTAAACAAGATTAGCATGTGTAAGCACAAAAAAGGCAAGGCGGGTAGAAGAGCTGAATATAGGAGGGCACTTAATTGGCCAACTGCCATCAACCATTTCAACACTCACACACCTTTCTGGCCACTTGTACTGCATTGTTAGAAGAGAATAAATCATTTGACACACAACTAGGTTTTAGGGGGGGAAACATGTGAAAACCATTCAGGCAAAAAATCTGTTTGAAATGTATGAAATTTTCCATCTGAGTGCTTTCTACTAGAAGAAAATATTGCGGTGAGCTGGAATATTTTTAATCTTGTTTTATATTAAATACTTTAATATATAAATCACTCAGGGCTCAATTGTTAAATTCCACACAATTTTTATTTCATTTTCAAGTGACAACATTTCTCAGTGCGATTCCAAGAAACCAAAAGGGAAAAAAAGAGATGACATTTAAATAACTCTGCTACCATGGCAGAGACTGAAAATTTTTGTGAATATAAATATAAATGCAGAGAACACTTAAGCTGCCTGAAATTGGAAAATGTTGCTAATAAAATGGAAAGCTAAAGCTTTCATCAGCAAACTGTGTGCATATCAGTCTAACTACAGTATATGCATCTTAGGCAAGAGTCATCTCTTATTTTAGCCCTGAGCACCTGCTCATGCGTAGGGTTAAAGTCGGGGTTGGGATGTCGGGCCATAAGGAAAGGTAAAGGTAAAGGTTCCCCTTGACAATTTTTGTCCAGTTGTGCTCATCCCCGTTTCCAAGCCATAGAGCCAGCGTTTTGTCCGAAGACAATCTTCCGTGGTCACATGGCCAGTGCGACTTAGACACGCAACGCTGTTCCCTTCCCACCAAGGTGGTCCCTATTAATCTACTTGCATTTGCATGCTTTCGAACCGCTAGGTTGGCGGGAGCTGGGACGAGCGACGGGCGCTCACTCCGTTGTGTGGATTTGAACTTAACAGCTGAAGATCTACAGATCTTACAGCACAGAGGCTTCTGCGGTTTAACCTGCAGCACCACCACATCCCTTAAGGAAACCGACTCCTAAAGATTCCTGCCTGATCAGCAGCATTTTAGACCCACTTAATGCAAAGACCTCCATGGGGTTTCCAACATGTTTTCCAATAATGAGTTTTTTAAACTGTGGTTGTTTGATCATGGGATGTCTGTTCTATCCAAATGAATGCAGTTACTGAACCCTATATACAGACATGTGTATTCAGCTTATGGAGGTCTGAAACACTGCCATGCATGTTTGGGACGGTCTTAGGTGTATCCACATAAAGAGCTTAGGAATTAGCCCTGAGCACCTGCTCATGCGTAGGGTTAAAGTCGGGGTTGGGATGTCGGGCCATAACGAAACCGACTCCTAAAGATTCCTGCCTGATCAGCAGCATTTTAGACCCACTTAATGCAAAGACCTCCATGGGGTTTCCAACATGTTTTCCAATAATGAGTTTTTTAAACTGTGGTTGTTTGATCATGGGATGTCTGTTCTATCCAAATGAATGCAGTTACTGAACCCTATATACAGACATGTGTATTCAGCTTATGGAGGTCTGAAACCCTGCCATGCATGTTTGGGACGGTCTTAGGTGTATCCACATAAAGAGCTTAGGAAAAGAGCTTTTCAGACTACAATTTCCAGAGTGCTCCAACCAACATAGCCCCTGGTTGAGGATTTCTGAGCCAAAAAAGGTAAATCATCCAAGCTCATTGCCCTTGTTTTAATCCACTATCTCCATCAAGCAAGTGCCTGCACATGGAAATGTCCACATGAACCACTGCATGGGGAAAGTGGCTTGGGATAAAAGATGTGGACGGGTGAAGCATCTGGTACAGAAAGGGTTAAGCATATTCCACCATTTGTCAGCTTTACATTAGTCTTTTCCAAGGCTGCTTTAAAAAAAAAAAACTTGAAAGCTACCCAACTTTTCCTGCACACATTATACTTTCATGTTCAGTTTGGAAGAGATTTCTGAATAAATGAGAGAACATTTATTTTGCTAAATGAAGACTTGGATTCCCACAAATCCTATGTGTATGATTCTGTGCTCACACGCACACTCACACATTGCTTGGTTGGTTGGTTTATTCAAATCATTTTATCTTACTCTTCAGCTGAAAATATTTCCTTATATACAGTCTATGAAAGCAACACAACTGTTGTTCCCAAGCTTACTATCTGAATGGCATCACCCAAAAGGAAATATAAGTAAACAGCAGGCACTAGTTCTGATCATAACCATCCAGAATGGGAAACAGTTTCAGGAGAAGGGAGCCTCACGGTCTCACAGCACACCGTAAGGTCTGTTTCCCATCTCTCCCTCTGCTGAAGTTGGGTGGAGTGGGTACTGCCAGCGACATTGGGGGGGGGAGTGTGATATAATCAGCTTCTGAGCAGTACTGATGTGATCCTTGGAACGGCCTCCCTCTACCTCACAAAGGGGGGTCGCTACGTCACTCTAAATCACTCTTCTTTTCCACTGCCACCAACCATTCCCTCAAATAAGTAGCATCAGGCCAAAATATCATTCCAAATAAAAACTCTGGTTTAATGGGTACAAATAAAAGGAATGGTAAATCACTTATAATAAATAATAATTCAATCACTATAATCAAGGCACTAGCATACACAGAGTCTCACAATATAACACAGATCTCCTAACTCCTATCTAAACCCTATCCAAGCCCTACCAGTCCCTGTCTATCTGTCCCTATCTCCCTATCTGTCCCTATCTAAACTCTCTCACACACATTCACTCACATTTATACCATAGCTCCACCCCTTATGTCCCACCCTCTGTCACGGAGTGGGTACTGCCAGCGACATTGGGGGGGGGAGTGTGATATAATCAGCTTCTGAGCAGTACTGATGTGATCGTCATGCTTCCCATCTCTTTGTGTGCTGCAGGATGATGGAATGGCTGCTGCCAGATGTCAGCTGTGGGAAGGAAAGCAAAACAAAGCTGGATGTCTTCTCTGTGCCTTAAATGTGTTTCCCTTCAAAATGGAAAAAAAAGCCAACAATTTAAGAGGTGGGTTGAGATCAGAACAGGGAGGGACCACAACTTGATGGTGGTATCTACCGATTGCACATACAAGGACATTTGCAACCTCTTTTTAAAAAGATCAGCAGGCAGGCATACACAGAGTCTCACAATATAACACAGATCTCCTAACTCCTATCTAAACCCTATCCAAGCCCTACCAGTCCCTGTCTATCTGTCCCTATCTCCCTATCTGTCCCTATCTAAACTCTCTCACACACATTCACTCACATTTATACCATAGCTCCACCCCTTATGTCCCACCCTCTGTCACACCATTGGTAGATGACTCACAGTTTTAGCAGTGACGGACAGGTGAGGTCATAGCTGTATGTAACAATCGTTATGCTTCCCATCTCTTTGTGTGCTGCAGGATGATGGAATGGCTGCTGCCAGATGTCAGCTGTGGGAAGGAAAGCAAAACAAAGCTGGATGTCTTCTCTGTGCCTTAAATGTGTTTCCCTTCAAAATGGAAAAAAAAGCCAACAATTTAAGAGGTGGGTTGAGATCAGAACAGGGAGGGACCACAACTTGATGGTGGTATCTACACATTGCACATACAAGCACATTTGCCTGCTGATCTTTTTAAAAAGATCAGCAGGTATCTACCGATTGCACATACAAGGACATTTGCAACCTCTTTTTAAAAAGATCAGCAGGCAGGTAATACCAAAGATCTCTGTTGGAAGAAAGGTTCTTATGATACATTTTGGAAACAGGAAGCGATTGCACATACAAGGACATTTGCAACCTCTTTTTAAAAAGATCAGCAGGCAGGTAATACCAAAGATCTCTGTTGGAAGAAAGGTTCTTATGATACATTTTGGAAACAGGAAGTGGCAATACAAAAGATCTCTGTTGGAAGAAAGCTTCTTATGATACATTTTGGAAACAGGAAGTGCTGAATGGTGGCATCCATGCATTGACTTCAAATGGGCTGCAAACATTTCTGTGTACTGTACTTACAGAGCAATGCTTTTACTGACAACTGACCTTAAGGATAGGCACATATATGCATGCACACACATACTCCCCCTCAAACTGTAACACTCAAGCCGTCTTACTAGGGTGCCATCATGGGTGAGTCATTCCTGTTTTGGACTTCCACCATCATCATAAAAGGACACAATATTCAATCACTCAGAGCACTCAGATGCCAACAGATGTAACCCAGGCTTGGCAAGAGAGGCAATGAGGGCACCCCGGTTATGAAGAATCAGCCCTGCAATAAAAGTTGATGAGAGCAAATGTTGTGAGTTGGAATAAACCCAGTTTATGTTGCAGGCCCTGTGCATAGGAGTTATCATTTATATGTAGCACAAAACAAAAGAGTTAAATAGACTGAAGTACAAGATAGTCAAATAATCTGAAACACTAAAGCCACTGTGACGATTTCCTGAGTACCTGCAGAGCAAAGAGGCTGATGCATTCTCCTGTGGTCTTCTTGTAGGCATTGTCTTGTTGGGCATTGTGCAAATAGAACACTGGACTCCCCAGGTATGATTTGATGTGGCTTTACTTAATTCTTAATTAGAAGTGACTTAGAAACATGTACATGTTAAATCTAGTTCGATAATTCCAGGTGGCATTTTTTCCCAGGAGATATTTGTTTTCTGAGATGTGGGAATTAGTTGCAACTAACAAGGGAAATCTATTTCCATTTTCTTTTGTTAATCAAGCTGTGATACCACAATGAGTTGACTACCATCACCACGCTGGCTCACTTGCAACATTATATTTGCTCACTGAAATGGTAAAATTAGTGTCTCCTACATTCCCAACATAACTATTAAATACCTCAGTAGTATAACATTTTATAAAAATTTAAAGAGAGAGAGAGAGAGAGGGAGAGAGAAAGAGATGTAGCTAGCCAAATTGTTCAAATAATTATATTGCTTTCCTGGCCACCCTCTGACAAGGTTAATGAAAATTTTGTCTTCTGTGATTTCTGGGCACTTCTTAAACGCTTTCCCCCAAAAGAAAAACAAATTTTAGAATTCTGTCCTAAACTGAATGCTGAAAAACATTGTAATTTTTTGGCCATGCCATGTATGTATATACATGACTAACCCAGCTAAACATTAAGCAGCACCACATGAGTACTCTTAATTATTAGCTGTCATATTGAGATTAAATTGGGCATTAAATTAAGGTTAAAGAGAGATTAAATTGTGACCCGAGGTGCAGAAAAGACTCAATAGGCACTGAAATATAAAGTCATTATTTGCAGAGAATAAAATTAAGGACCTGTGCAGCTTACTCCTTCATATCGTGCTGCAGCAAGAGGTGCGTAAGAAACAACAGTATCATCCCTGTAATCAGGACTTCTTAGAAGCTAGATTGGAAATCAGACATTTCCAGCAAAATGGGCCACCAGGTTATGAGCTGAGAAACAATGCCTCACAATGTTTTTTGATAGATTGTTTCTGAATTGGCTGAAAGCGTTCCAATCTGGACAACAGTTGTTGATAGTTGTTGATCTATTTTGTGAACACCAGTAGATCTCTGATGAAGAAAGGATTCAATTTATTTTTTTAAAATAGGGCAACCATAAAGATTAATGCTCCAAGTGTACTTCTTATCTGCTGTCTCTCCCTCCTTACCTCCATAAGAAACAGAAAAACAGTTCTTCTCCACTTTTTCAAAAATGCTCTATTGGGGAAGTCAGGCAGCAAAGCTCTAGACTAAATGGGAAAAAAGAGAGAGAAATATGTGTACCAAGGACATTGGTCATTTTACATTTCAGAAACAACACTTCTTAAACGCCTTGGCTGTTAGACTAGTTGCAACCGGGCTTATACTCAAGAACACAAATATATTTGAATAAAGAAGAGCAGAGAGAGGACTTCTCAGGTTTCTAGATTACTGTTTACCTAACTGAACCTCCTTGATCTTCCGTTAGATTGTTATTCTTAGAACTGCTGATGTCACTTCCTTCCTTCTCACACTTTTCTCTTGAAAGGGGCAGCCCTGACTTATGATAAAACTAGGCCTTCTATCACCTTTCCTATCACAATTTTTTTAATAAAAATAAACCTTATTTGCTTAGAAACAACAGTGGATGTGATTCTTTTACAAAGTGAGATGTGTATTCAGATAGTCATTTATAAGTTTTAAAAGGCAGAACCCCACAAGTTGCTTACTCTGTAACACTGACAAATCTCAGTTTTATGGGCAATCTATGTGAATATCACAAGCAAGATAAAGGATTGTTCCTAGATAGATAGATAGATAGATAGATAGATAGATAGATAGATAGATAGATAGATAGATAGATAGATAGATAGATAGATAGATAGATAGATAGATAGATAGATAGATAGATAGATAGATAGATACGTACATGTAATGTGAACATTTCATCTGTGAGTGCTATAATCAGTTGCAAAACACAAAGAGATATTTCCAAAGGTTGCTGCCCAAAATATGAAGCCTGCTTTCATCAGAATCAAAACATTTTTTTTTGCATCAGGGTGCAAAAAAAATCATTTTTAAAGAAACACAGGAAGCCATCCTTGCAGTTCTAATATTGATGGGGGAGGAACAAGAGAAGGGCACTCATACAGCATTTATTCATTTAGAAAAACACGTGAAAGCCTCAACTGGAACAAAATATTTACCATGTTACAGGAGACTAAAATAAATTTCAAAGGAAAAAGAACCTATATAAAAACAGGAAACAATCATCAGAGGAAATGATTTTGAACAAATAGCTATTATAAATTAAGGGCTCCATCAAGAATGTTCACTGTCCCCTTACCGTTCAGAATACATACCAGGAATGTAATAATGAGAATAAAGGAACTGATAAATACAAGTATTAAAGGAATTAGGAAGGAAGTAGACCATTTTGTGGTTGCAGCTGAGTGGAGAGTGCTTTCAGCGGTTTGGATTTTAAAATGAAATGTTTTCATTACAGTTCTCTACGAGTGACCTACTCTGAAGCTTTTTGGACATGGTGAGGTAAAATGCAAAAAATAAGATAAAAATAAAATAAATATGCCTATTTATTTCTGCTTTGCTCTTTCCTTTTGTCCTACCAATCTATTTCAGCCTTCTGTCTTCCAATGTGGCTTTAACCACATCCTCACTTTCTCCTCCATGTATGCCTTCTTGTCAAATTTAATTAAATTAAATATTTCATGTAGACCATGGTTTAGGCAATGAATCCAGAACATCTAGCTATGAATCGAATCTGATAACCAAATACTACCTGCCAAAGTCCAACTTTTGAGAATCTTGACATCCAAGAACATGTCCATAAGCGCCATTGAGTACTCTTGAGTGAATTTGGAGTACCATTGGCAACACTATCTGATTTTGAACACCTCTTCTAATTCAGAGGTGGCTCTACCATTTGGTGGAATGGAGCAGCTACATCAGGCAGCAGCTCCTGGAAGAACACAGAGGCAAAGGCTGAAATACCTTTACTGAACCTTCTCAGCTGTCCTGCTGCCCTCTGTTCCAATGTTCAGATAAGATTATTCTGCAAATGGAATTGGACACCATGTTGTTCTTGTTGACCTGGGCCGCCTTCTGTTGGTCTGGTTTTAAAATAATATAAAATGTAACTGATGGAGTTTGTGTACAGCACTTTCAAGCATTATGATGGAAATCACACATGCAGAATACAAATTGTATTCTCCCCTGTGTATGTGCACATGCATATGTGTGTTGAAAGTAAATAAAATGATTACTTAGTCTTTGTTAAGTACATTAAAGAACTTTTACTGTTTAAAACACATGTTGAATAAACTCAGTGCTTTGACATATTGGTACTTGTTATATAAGCTTGTACTTGACTTAGTTACGTTAATATGTTATCCTTAAAAGTTGACAGACATAGTTTCTCTAACAGATCTATCTCATTTAACAGCTAACACTATCACATTTTTTGCCCTATCAGCTATCATCCATAACATATCTAACACCTATCAGACAGACTGTGTCCTACTACATATTTGCCCTATCTGGTCCTGTCAGTCCTATGCTCCTTATCTGAGAGACTGCTAACTGGCAGTTGCTTTATATAGCTATCTGACTGCCACCAGACACATTCTAATTGGTCAGAATGTTTCACTATGTAAATATTACATACATTCGAGTCCTTCTCATACAAACACGCGCACGCGCACATGCACATTGTTCCAATGTCCAGATAAGATTATTTTGCAAATGGATTAGGGCACCATGTTGTTCTTTCCCTGAGTCAACAAAATGTTTTAAGCTGGTCTTGTGGCTATTGCACATAGTATACAAGGCATAGGCGCACTTCTTTGCAGTGACTGAACATTGTCATGATATTTAGAACTGTAGCCCACTTAGATCATCAGCACTCGTATGGCTCAGACTTAGTAGTAGAAATGAGTTGTAATGAACATCAGATTCATAGACTTCCTTACCTCCCATGCATTACTTCAGAACATGTGAAACAGTGGTTTGTTCTAAGCATTGTCAGCAACAGCTCATGGTCCAGTGAGTGCAGATTATGGTTATTTTGGATGTGAAGTGTCCCGCTGGCTTGTACATTCCTTACCACAGTTTGAAAAAATAGCACCGTAAGTCATGAATGCATTCTGGTTTATTAGAACTCACTGTGATTGAGATGTAATAGGGGACTGTAGATTGTTCAAAACTATAAGACTGCTTTCTACTGGCAAATACAAGGTGAGGAAGAGGAAGAAAAGCATTAAATCCTTTGTGCCTGTTCATCCTGATGCGAAATTATGTTTTAACGTCTTACCTAAAGTGACTGCCTCTACACCTCCACTAGAGGCCACCAGGAACAGCTACTGGGGGTGTGGCAATGCTCTGTAAGCTGGCAGTGACCCCCAAACCAAGCAGCTTTAGAAATTTTGGAGCAGAAATCATTCACATCCTACTCAGTACTATTATGAGGATGGTTTGAAACTAATTCGGATCTTCACTGTGTAACCTGCAAATAAGATGGCGGGGCCAATGTTTAACTGTACCCAGCACATTAAAAAGATGTTCAAATGACTCTATGTGGCAGCTGTTATCATGTGATAACTCATTTGTGTGACATCTATCAGGTTCTTTTTTCTTTGCAAGAGCAAATCTGTCTTTCCAATTGTTTGTGCAAGTGTACAGAAAATTGCCCCAGCCTCTTCAGTGAGCCATGGCACCTGCTATGTGCAACTGTTGGAAACTGCTTCTGTGCAAAGGATCAGCCCCCAGAACTTGCTGCCTTCTAGGCTATATTATTCTAACAATTTTTTTCGTTGGTTCTGTATTACATTCTATTAAGCCATGTCTTTCCCTCCATATATTATTCATAAGATTGATCTTTTATTTAGTGTTATTAAAATTAATTCTTCATTAATTCTCAGAAAAGATTAACATACAATGGAAGACTTTGAGATAAATTCAGCAAATATTATTAAAGGAACCTGACTGAATTACAACACTGAAACTGAACATAATAACGTTATGATGTTTCTGAAATATAACCTTTTTGCTATAGCATCTTCTCACCGTGAACAGTAAACTCATTTAATAGCATACCAAAACACAGGCCCGTATCAGACTGTAATTACTGAGCAGATTCTGCTGAAGAGCTTTGCTTTATCGCTGTTTCTTAGAAAGTGAGACTAATCCAGAAGCATCACGTACATAAATTAGCCCTAGCCAGAGGCAGGGCTTACTGTAATTACCAGTTGTTAATGAACTCTAGACAACAACTCTAGGCATTCAAATTGTTCTGGAGCTTGAAATGAGATGTATGTTTGTGGAGGGCATGGGGTGATAGGGGGAGCTGTATCAGCAACACAGCCAGCAAACTGTGCAATCCAAACAACACTTCAAGTTGTCCCATTGCACTTGGGCAAAGAGGTTGACTTTAAGCATACAGTATATATATTCTACACTGGAGACTGAAAATCTGATTGCATGACTGTCACTGAAGATTAATAATCAAATAAAATCACTCCCATCACCTCCAGAAGCTTTATTTATCAAGATGGAAGTCTTGGACATACTATATCCTTCCCAATGCATCCCTCCATCCACCGATACATACTTTCACCTGGGCGGATTTTAAAATTTTATTTAATGTTGTTTTGAACTCTGGGATATTTTCTAACTCTATGGAAATTCCAGGGGGACTGCACATTAAGGTTGTGGGATAGGATGTACCCAATAAAAACTCTATTGTCTCCATGAATGTGGCCAACTAAATGAAAATTAGAGCAGGTCACTTCTTCTTGGTCTCGCAGTTTGCTGAAAAAAAGTACAGCATTTTTGTTAAAAAATCCATTACATTACACTGGTACAAAAGAATACCCATTGAAAAGACATGAATGAGATCCTATTGATTTTTTTAAAATTTATATGCTGGTTGGTGAATTCCAGCATTATCTATCCTGTTTGTGCTCATTGGCAGAATCAGGAAACTCCTGATGACTGGTCAACAGCAGTTATGGTCCTTTTCCATAAAAAAAAGAGTTCAAGATCTGATCCTAAGAATTATCAATGTATACGCATTCTGGAGGTGGTCAGCAAGCTTTGTGTGAGATGGCTTTTAGATCAATTGGAAAGTTGCAGAGACTCAGAAGAACTTTTGGCTGAGGGGTAGGTGGGCTTTTACCATGGATAATCAACACTTAACTATTGCTTTCTCCTCAAACACTTAGCAAAGATAGGGTGAGATCAGGCAGGCATTTGTCCTGGTGCTTGGTCCACTGCAGGGACAGGCTGATCTGCTCCTTTTGCCACCAATCAGGCCATATAACTGCTAGAGTGAACCAACCAGTCAGCAGAACTTTCCTACCTGCACCTTTCTGGGCTCCTGTCAGGGCCTACTGTTGTTTGTTTGGTTGGTTGGTTGGTTGGTTTTGGTGCATGTAGGATTACTCCATTTGGTTCGTTTCCAGCAGGTGCAATTGCTGGGATTGAGCCAAGGTGGAACTTCTAGCTTTAAATTTCCTTTCGGCTTTCAGTTTACCAATATCTTTAAGTGGCTTAAAGAGACAGCTTAGCCTCTTCACAATACTAGAAAATTAAACACTTTTTCTGCTCTTCTGTACAGGCAACAGGAAGGAAGCAAACATTTTTTTTAAAAAAGGTTATTAGGACAACGCTGATGCACTATACCATTTGGGAAAAAAATGGAAAACTTCATCTCAGAAGGAGAACAGAGGAAGAGCAAGGATGCGGACTGTTTTGTTTTGTTTTGTTTTTGTAATCTTCTAAAGAGAGGTGGGCCAAATAGGATTGTCTGAGGTGCATATGCCATTTGGATGCACTGATTGAACTCAGTGACATCCCAGATCTCCATCCGATCTTAAATCCTCTTTAGCCTGCTCCAGCTTGTTCCAACTGAGCTGTGTAGATTTTCTTTTGAATCAGAGCATTGCACCATTAGCAAGTTTACAATGCAACACTTCTGGAAGTGAAGGATTGGCCAGCTGCATGCCATTGCCCAGAGGATATCCACGTATACTTGCAATGCTTGTCCACACTTCAGGGAGAGTCCTTCTATAGGAGAAGGTCGGATTTAGGAACATGATATTCGTCCAGCTGTGTAGACAACCTGTGCAGATATCATATTGTTACTTTTACAATCTGCTTTTATAGATTTTCAGGCAGCCTTTAATTCTATCTGTCACCCCACCTTTGATATAAATTGGCTTTCTGAACATAGTTAAGAAGAATTCAGGAACTGTATAATAACTCTAGTACACATGCCTGGGCCATGGCAGGGGCCTATCATGTAGAAGTCATCCCTGTTAATAATAATAATAATAAAAATACACCACAATACTTATTAGCATTTCTTTTATTCAGTTTGTATTTTAATTATATTGTTTACCCATCAGATATGGAGGTTTTCCCCTCCTCTCTATATGACAAACCGGACAATTCCATCTTAATGTATGACAATAATGCCATTCTTTTTTTCCCCTACAATTAGGTTGGGTTGCATAGACTCCCTGAGAGCTCTAGGCTGAAATTTTGCTAAGGAACTACTGCAATTTAATTATTCTAAAAGTAAAATAATATTGTGTACCAAATTTGCAAATGATAACAAATTGGTTGGAATAGCTAATACCCTAGAAGACAGAAACAAAATCAAAATGACCTTGATAGGATGGAGCACTGGGCCAAAAGCAACATAATGAAATTCAACAGGGATAAGTGCAAAGTACTGCACTTCGGAAAAAGAAACCAATTGCACAGTTATAAGATGGGGGATACCTGGCTCAGCAAAACTACAAGCAAGAAGGATCTTGGAATTGTCATAGATTATGAGCCAACAGTGTGATGTGGCTACAAAAAAGGCAAATGCTATTTTAGGCTGCATTAACAGAAGTACTGTATAGTTTCCAAATCCCACAAGGTGCTAGTCCCCCCCTATTCAGCACTGGTTAGGCCTCACCTTGAGTATTGTGTCCAGTTCTGGACACCACACTTCAAGGAGGATGCTAACAAATTGGAACAAGTTCAGAGGAGGGCGACAAGGATGATCGGGGGGTTGGAAATCAAGCCTTATGAGAAAAGGCTGAAAGAATTGGGCATGTTTAGCCTTGAGGATAGAAAACTGAGAGGTGATATGATTGCACTTTTCAAATATTTGAAAGGCTGTTATGCAAAGGAGGGGCAAGATATGCTCTCCATCATCACAGAGTGCAGGACACGCAAAAATGGGCTCAAGTTAAAGGAAGCCAGCTACACATTCGGTTGACTATCAGAAAAAAACTTCCTAACTGTTAGAGTAGTACGGCAGTGGAACCAGTTACCTTGGAAGTTGGTGAGTGCTCCAACACTGGATGCATTGAAGAAAAACTTAGATAAGCACCTGGCAGATATGCTTTGATTGTATTCCTGCACTGAGCAGGGGGTTGGGCTTGATGGCCTTGTAGGCCCCTTCCAGTCTGTAATTCCATGCTTCCTCCTTTTTGCCCTTTTTGAAGATGGTGACAACTTTAGCCTTCCTTCAATCATCTGGCACTTCACCTATTCTCCATGATTTCAAGAAAATAATAGACAGTTGTTTGCAGTCTCTTCAGCCAGTTCCTTCAATACCCTTGAATCAGTTCATTCAGTTTCTGGGATTTGAACTTATTTAAAGTAGTAAGGTGTTCCTTGACCTTCATCAATGTCAATGTCAATGTATTCCCTCACGTTTGCCTGGAGAAGCATAGACTGTCTTTTGGGAGAAAACTGAGCAGAAGTAGGAATTGAGCACTTCTGCCTTTTCTTTGTCATATGTTATCATTTTCCCATCCCCATTGAGTAACTGAGACACTGTTTCTTTTCTCTGTCTTTTACTAAACTAAGCAACAGGATTTTCGATTACTGTGCGCAACAGTGATTTAACTACTTTAACCTCAGTGAAACATTTGTTGAATTTTTTGAAATAAACCAACCAATCAAGTACAGTTTCTTTTCTAAGTATCTTCTCTTTATCTGAGTCAATTCTGATCATGTAAATGTCTGTGCCATTGTTACCGCATCATTCATCCATGACATTGGTGCAAGAATACATTGGTATACTTGTACCAATGTTATGAAATGTGAGAGAACAATCCTTGAAAATATATACACTTCACCTTCATCACCAATGATAAGTACAAAATACCATCCTCAAGCCTGAACTGTCTTTGGAGGCAAAAATAACAAAATTCTGGCTTTGGGCACAACATGAAAAGACAAGATTCTCTGGAAAAGACAATAATACTTGGAAAAGTTTCAGGTTGCAGGAAGAGAGGAACTAACGTGAGATGGAATCTATAAAGGAAAAACAACAACAATGGACTGGTACTTCCTACTGAAACTGTCTAGCAAGGAGAGACAATAGTCCAGGATGTTAAAAAAAGTATCAGTATTTTTATTCAAAGATAAGAAAGAGCCCATTGCATTTCAGCTAATATATTTTCAGCCTTCTTCAGGGGCACTAATAGTGCACTTGTATTGAATACCGTATGTCTCTGAGGATTTTTTAAAGGGACAGTTTTTCCACTCCATCTATCCAAAAAGGTGCGGAAAACTGCCCCTAAAAAACCCCTCCTCAGACATATTCAATACAAGTGCAGTATCAGTGCCCCTGTAGAAGGCTGAAAATATATTAGTCAAAACGCGTTGGGCTCTTATCTTTGAATAAAATTTACTTATTTATTTATTTATTTTATTTATATCCCGCCTATCTGGTCGGTTAAGACCACTCTATAAAAAATACTGATACCTTTTTTACATCTTGGGACTATAATCTCTCCCTCTATAAAGGAAGCCACAGGCTTGAGATTACAAGAGCTGAATAGGGCTATAGAGGACAGGACATTTTGGAGGTTCACTCATTCGTAGGGGTGCCAAATGTCAGAGGTGACCTGATGGCACAAAACAACAACAGTTCTCAGTTGAACCAAGGAAAGGTTGCCTGCCACCATTAAGCAGTGGCATTTAGCCCCGATGTCATAAACAGTCAGGTGTGATGGGAATGCACAACATGGATCTGGTATCTTTTTCTTTTAGTGAATACACTGCAGTTGCTCCCTCCCTTTACTCCTTTATCTAAATATGTCTTCTTTCCCAGCAAACATTTCTGAGATAAGATAAATACTATGTTTTGGTCATATTTATTGTGCAGAGTTTGTGCCAGATATTCCATTTACTGTATATGCTTGCCTTTGAGATTAGATTGCATTCTGTTTTCACATACGTTTTTGGGGTTAAATGACCCTGTTTTCCTTTTCATTTCCTTTTTTTAAAAAATTCAGAGGAAAATAATTTCCCTACTACATCTTCACTTGGATTTTTGTTGTTTTGTTTTCAAAGGAGAAATAACTTCAGACTCCCTGGAGAGAATTGTGGAAAGATATAGCATGTCACTGTCTGAAAATGTAATGTAATGTGTAATTTCCCTATTGCTTACATCTATTTGGCCCCCTCAACTTCTCTTGTCTTCCTCCACTAGCACAGCTTATTGTTCCTTTTTCTTCCCTTTCCGCATTTGTAGCTCCTGTTTTTCAACAGGCTGAAGCTGGAAGGTGGTGCTGTTTAGCATGTAAATAAAGCAACACTTTTCTTTTCCATAGTAAATAGCTCTGTCTGGCATTATATGCCAAGAACTTTCATCAGCAGAATGATGAATTCAGATCGTGCATAGTGAGTCTCTTTGCTTTCGCAGGAGGAAAGGTGATCACTCTGTAATTAGCTCTTTTCTTCCCTGGTACTCCTTCTGCTTTCTTTCCTTTCCTTTTTCTTTTTTTAAACTTTATCTTTGCTGGCTGTACTTCTAATTCTCCTGACCTCTCCAGAATGTGGCATTTCATACAGCTGAGGTCAAAATTCTAATGCCGCCTTTCTGAATTTATTTTGCATTACAGTTTCCCTATCATCTTGCCTGCTAGAAATTGAGGGTGCTCAGAAGCTGATTGTAAATAAAGAATGTGACATTGCAGATATACTTGGAATGATGTGCGCTTCGAGTTCACTATTCTGCCCAGATGAGTAGAGGGCATGCTTTTGCATTTTAATTTGAAATTCAGTGAATATTTTGAATGCCACAGCATGTCTATAACGTTATTTCAAGGCTCTTGCGCATTGAGGCATGTAATGATTGGCATTGGCAGTAACTTGATGCAATGTTGCACAGTTTTAATGTTATCTTTGATCACTTCCTATTCATTGGAAAAATCCCACAATTGCAAACCCACATTATGTTTCATTGAGGATGCCAAGTTCTCTATATTCCAGAGCTTATTCAAGGCATTTTGTCCACCCTCAGGCTGCTCATTAAAGGGATGGCAGTATCTAATTTAATGAATAAGATAGAGTATAAATTCCCCATTCATTCATGAAGTGGGAATGGTAGAGGAATGAGCTTTTCTTCCTGCTATTCCCCAGCTTTTGTTTCTTAGAAATTGTATATGCTTCTTCATAAACAATGTATATCACGCTCCACACATGTATAGCAATGTCCTGCTTACTTTTTACCTGATCATTTAAACCTTGACAATGAGATTGTACTATTTTATGATCTGTTCCATGATCCATGGCCTGACATGTCTGTATCTCATGAGATTTTACACATGGCATACATAGGCAGTGCATTTCCTAAAAGGACATAAAACCTGAAATATCTGTGCTTTGATACAGTTA